TTGGCAACCACAAGTTTGTATTCTATGTCTGTGTGTTTGTTTCTGTTTTGTATTTATGTTCTTTTTTTTTTTTTTAGATTCCACATATGAGTGATCTCATATGGTATTTTTCTTTCTTTCTAGCTTGCTTCACTTAGAATGACATTCTCCAGGGATATCCATGTTGCTGCAAATGGCATTATGTTGTCGTTTTTTATGGCTGAATAGTGTTCCATATAAATAAATACACCACATCTTCTTTATCCAGTCATCTGTTGATGAAAATTTAGTCTGTTTCCATGGATGACTCTTCTTTTCTAAGAAAAATGTGTGTACATACAGAATTGTACATTCAACATTGATTTAATCCTATGTCCTCATTTTGCAGGTAGTAAACAGATACAGGGAGGAAATAAACCACATGATTAAGTAGAGGTAAAGTCTGGCTTAGAGTATATTCTAATCTAGAAGTCTGGTACTTTCATGATCCTATAGGATAGCTAAACAAGGGACAAAGGGGAATAAGTAGAAGTAATGTGGACAGACATAAAAGGGATTCAAACAAAAGCAAAGAAATATTTATCAAAGGTATTTGCTTAAGTGAATGACAAAAGAGGAAGTAATGTGCAAATGACAACATGACCAACAAAATACTTTTTTTTCCTACTTGAGGATAAGACCTCTTTACTGCTAATGTTAAAAATGAGAGGCAAGGATTAACCAAGAAGATGAAGTAGAAGGACCTTGAGCTCACTTCCTCTCACTAGCACACCAAAATCACAACTAATTGCTGAACAAACTATTGATAAAAAAGACTGGAACCTACCAAAAAAGATCTACAACTTAAGACATAAAGAAAGAACCACAATGAGATGGTAGGAGGGGTGCACTTACGATATTATCAGATTTCATACCCTCTGGGTGGGCGACCTACAGACTGGAGAATAATTATATTGCAGATGTTCTCCCACAGGAGTGAGAGTTCTGAGCCCCATGTCAGGATCCCAGGCCTGGGGGTCCAGCATTTGGAAGAGGCATCCCCAGAGTATTTGGCTTTGAAGGCCAATGGGGCTTAATTGCAGGAGCTCCACAGGACTTGAGGAAACAGATATTTCACTCTTAAAGGGCACATACAAAACATCACGTGTACTGGGACCAAGTACAAAAACAGTAACTTCATTGGAGCCTGGCCAGACTTAACTTGCTGGTCTTCGATGGTCACCTGGGGAGGCAGTGGGGGCAGCTGTTGCTTACCCTTGGGACATAAAAACTGGTGGCTGACATAGTGGGCAGTATTCATCTGTGTGCATTCTCCTGGAGGCCGGCATCTTGTTTAAGCCATTAGCACCAAGATCTGGCCTCAGTGAGCAGCCTGTAGGCTCCAGTGCTGGGATGCCTCAGGTCAAACAACTAACTGGTGGAAACACAGCCCCACCCATCAGCAGACAGGCTGCCTAAAGATATTCTGAGCCCATGACCTCCTCTAGACGTACCCCTAGACAAAGCCATGGCCACCAGAGGTCTAGGACCCAGTTCCACCTGTCACTGGGCAGGCCCCAACCCCTCTTGCCAGGAAGCCTGCAGAAGCCTCTAGATCTGCCTCATGCACCAAGGGGCAGACAATAGAAGCAAGAAGACTATGATCCTGCAGCCTGTGGAAAGCATCCACAAATGCAGGCCAGACTCTAACCTGGGACCAGCTGGCTCCTGGCCCTTGGGTGATGAGACAGAAGTGTACCACTGGGACACACAGGACATCCCCTACAGAGGACCACTTCTACAAGTTCAAGAAATGTAACTAACCTGCCACATATGTTAAAATACAAATGCAATATTTAGACAAAATGAGGTGGCAGAGAAATATGTTCCAGATGAAGGAGCAAGACAAAACCCCAGAAGAACAACGAAGTGAAGTGGAGATAGGCAATCTACCCAAGAAAGAGTTCTGGGTAGTGATCATAAAGATGATCCAAGAGATCAGGAGAAGAATGGATGCACAGAGCAAGAAGTTAGAAGTTTTTGTTGTTGTTGTTGTTTTGTTTGGTTTGTTTTTAAAAGTTAGAACATATAAAGAACAGCCAAACAGAGTTGAAGAATATGATAACAGAAATGAAAAATATGATAGAGGGAACCAATAGTAGACTAAATGAAGCAGAAGATCAGTGAGCTGGGAGACCGAGTAGTGAAAATCACTACAGTAGAAGAGAAAAAAGAAAAAAGAATGAAAAGAAATGAGGACAGTTTAAGAGACATCTAGGACAACAGCAAGATCATGAACAGTCACATTGTAGTGGTTCCAGAAGGCGAAGAGGGAGGAAGAGGGCCTGAGAAACTTTTTGAAGGGAAAATAGCTGAAAACTTCACTAACCTGGGAAAGGAAACACTTACTAAGTCCAGGAAGCTCGGAGAGTCCCATACAGTCCCAAAGAGGAACACACCAAGACACATAGTAATCAAGCTGACAAAAGGTGAAGCAAAATACTAAAAAACAGCAAGGGAAATGCAACAAATAACAAACAAGGGAACTCCCATAAGGCTTTCAGCCAATTTTTCAGCAGAAGCTCTGCAGGCCAGAAGGGAGTGGCATGATATTTTTCAAGTGATGAAAGGGAAAAAAGCCTACAACCAAAAATACTCTATCTAGCAAGGCTCTCATTCGGATTTGATGAAGAAATCGAACGCTTTGCAGATAAGCAAAAGTGGAAAGAATTCAAAAGCGCCAAACCAGCTTTACAACACATGCTAAAGGAACTTCTTTAGGCAGAAAAGAAAAGGCCACAACTACAAACAAGAAAAGTACAAAATGGAAAAGCTCACTGGTAAAGACAAACATACAATAAAGATAGGAAGTCATCCACATGCACACTAGGAGGGAGGCTAAAACGCAGAAGTAGTAAAATCACCTGTATCCAGAATAAGCAGTTAAGGGATACACAGAACAGTTAGATGTTAGATATGGTATCAGAATCAGTAATAGTGAGGGGATGAGAGTACAAATGCAGAGTATTTAAAATGCTTTTGAATTTAAGAGATCAACAATTTAAAACAAGCATGTATGTGTGTGTGTGTGTGTGTGTGTGTGTATACTGTTATAGATACATACTATTCTACCAAAACCTCGTGGTAATTATAAACCAAAAATCTATAAAAGATATACATACAAAAAATGAAAATGGAATCCAAACATAACATTGAAAATAGTCATCAAACCACAAGAAAATGAAGGAAGAAAGGAAAAAAAGGCCTACAAAAATAAACCTACATTCTTTTCAAGTGCAAATGCAGGATAGATCATATGCTGAGTCACAAAGCAAGCCTTGGTAAATTTAAGAGAATTGAAATCATATCAAACATCTTTTCCAACCACAACACTATGGGACTAGAAATCAACTACCAGAAAAAAAAAAACCTGCAATAAACACAAACTCATGGAGGCCAAATAATATGCTACTGAATGACCAGTGGATCACTGGAGAAATAAAAGAGGAAATCAAAAAATGCCCAGAGACAAAGTGTCTATGATGATGACCTGAAACCTATGAGGTGCAGCAAAAGCATTCCTAAGAGAAAGATGTAGACCACTACAGGCTTCCCTCAGGAAGCAAGGACAGTGTCAAGTAAACAACCCAGCCTTACACCTGAATCAAAGAGAGGAAGAAGAACAGACAGACCCAGAGTTAGTGGAAGAAAAGAAATCAGAAAGATTAAGGCAGAAATAAATGAGATAGAGGTGAAAAAAATAGAAAAAAATCAATGACACTAAGAGCTGGTTCTTTGAAAATGTAAACCTAATTGATAAACCTTCAGCCAAATTCATCAAGAACAAAACGGAGAAGGCTCAAATCAATAAAATCAGAAATGAAAAAGAAGTAGGACTGACACCACAGAAATACAAAGGGTCATAAGAGATACTACTAACAACCCTATGCCAATAAGATGGAGGACCTGGAGGAAATGGACAGATTCTTAGACAAGTATGATCTCCCAAGACTGAACCAGGAAGAAACAGAAAATTTGAATAGACTAATCATGAGTGCTGAAATTGATATGGCAGTCGTTTGAGGAAGAATGGAGACAGGATCTGATAGGGCAGATTTAGCACGCGTTGACACAAAGGAAGGCGAGTCTGTTTTCAGCTCACCACCCAACAATATTTGATGTTTGCATGCTAAGGTTCGTACAGAAATCTGATTTCAGCTACTTGCTGAGCCTAGGATCAAGTTCTTGGACAACTTCCTCTTTTTTTTTTTTTTTAAATGGTTTTGCTCTCACATGACCAGTTCTGTGTTCAAATTCTAGAAACATCTCAGTTGGTTTTAAGGAAGCCTCATGACTAATGTCTTTAACAAGAACAGTGTTTAACAAAAATGTGCTGCCTAATTCTGGTGTTGATTGTATGAACGCTTCAGCTCTGGGAGCAGTTCTTGCTGCTCCAGGCTTTGGTCATTTGCCCCTAGCGTAATCCTCATCATTCCTGCTGGGAGCAAGTCCGTGGCTTGGAACTTGGGGAGGCCCAGTACTGCCAAGTTCCGGTCAGAGCGAAATGGGCACGGGAGGCTGCGGCTGAGGATGAGGAGTGAGGGTCGCATTCCAGCACACCGTACTACTTCCTGTAAAGGCTCTTGCATCTAATAATGCAATATAAAAACAATGGCTCTTTCCTGGCGTTATCAGCTATTTGTTGGCCAGAGGAATGCAAGAAGTTTAATTTCACCTTCTTCATTTGCTGTCCTAAGGGACAGTTGGTATGTCACTGTCTCCTTAGATGGAGTTGAAACATGTTTACAAAAGCTTTAAGATCTTCACTTGACTATGTAGTGACCCAATAGGATCACTATTATAGGATTTTATAAATAATAAAGCCTTTTAGAAAATAATACAACCGATAAATTTTTATTCAAATCTACTCTGTTTTCAAAACTATGGCTAATAAACTAAAGATAAGGAAGTATGTTTGCTAAGTTATAAAGAAATACAAGGAAAGTTTAGTCCCGGGAAACTAACATCAAAGAGTTGGTTGACTAGTTAGGGAGAAAAAATTCATTCTCGTTCATTCATTTATTCATCCATTTTTCTCATTCAGGTAACAAAGCTCTCTCAAATACTTCTGATGTATCAGGAATCATAGTATGTGTTGAAGATGCAGTAATGAACAAATAAGTAGTACACACTGTTAAAGGTTTTGGAGTTCACCTCAGGTTGAGCCTATGAAAGCGTACATAGAGAATGGGAGAATGAATTTGTGAAAGGGAGCATCTTCATAGTGAATCACCATGGTGGATTATATTTTTATTTGATTTTTTTTCTCCTCACTTCCTTGCCCTAGATGAGCCTAGGTAAAGGAGCAGCATAGAGAACTGAATTAAAAAGTATGTAAGAAGCGTTAAGCCAGTCTGTCTCTGCCATGGAAGAGATGTATCATGTATAATGGATTTGTTATGCTGTACAGAATCTGGTTGACTTTGCTAGAGGTTGGAAATAGCAATTGTCATATCTCCACTCCCCTCTCAGCTCTTTCCCTTTCTTGACTAAATGGAGCTATTTGTTTATGCTCACCTGCTAGAATTTAACAACTAAGAATACGCTGGAACATCAGCAGTTTTGCCCTGGCAAAGTGCATCCTGTGAATGACCCTGCTGACAAACTTGTATTGTCTTAACTGTAGCACAGCTTGCATTTGTCACAGGTGAATGGGCTCAATTAGCAAGAGAGACAGTGTTTCAATCATTAAAAAAATAAAAGGCAAACAAAGAAGAAAACATTTTCCTCTATAGTGTTCTGAAGGAGAGGTGACATTGTAGCATAGGATTTTTTTTTCCTTTGGGTTTTGCAAAGAAAGCAACTAAAGTAAAAAAAAAAAACACAGCACATTATTTAGCAAAGTGATTTGAAGCAAAACTGCAGGGCAGAATTCTCAAAAGATGTTAATAAGGAGTAAGATTTTCCATGGGTATTAATGTTGTTCTTACGTATCCTCAACTTACATACTTCTCTGTTTTGCTTATTAAAACCCCAGGGGAAATACTAGGTATTTGCTGTGATTCATATAATGAAGCAGATAACCTCAATTTTGCCTGAACTTATGCAATTTTGGGAGAGACATTACTTCCTTTGGCTTATGGGATGGTATTTAGTATAATGAAAATAAACTTTTTAGATAGTTTCATAATGGGTTGAATGAAAGTCTCAGCCTAGCCACTAACCAGTTAGGTGGGCTATGTGTGCCTTGATTATAGTGATAATTATAAATTCTCAAAGTGTTGTGAACCAAATTAAATAGAACTATGAAAGCAGCATGACGGACAACTCAATATTAGAAAAGGGGATAAATTGGCATTTAAAATGAAAATCTGACTATATAGTGTCTCATAAAGAGTTGAGTATTAAGCTTAGAATTAAATTGTGAAGAGCAAGACAAGATCAGTGTTCTAGAGAGTAGGACAGAAACAGACAGAAAGAAGAGGGAAAAGATCTGAAAACAAAACTAAAATGGAGACCGAGGAACCATCTTCCAAGAAAAATTATCCGTATCTCCTTCCTTCTCTGCAGCTTCTAGTTCAGTTATGCATTTATTAATTTATTTAATAAATAAGCCTTCATCTAATTTTTCTTAAGTGTCAGGAAACAGATTAGGTGTTGGTGATGCAATAATATGTAAGACATAGAACTATCCAAAGAAATGTTGATCTAATAGGAGATATAAATGTTTAAACAAAGAAATACAGATAAGGTTAAGGTAGGTTGGGTTCTACAGGTAACTAAAACTACATTTGGAGCAGAAAGAACAGTGTGAATAACTTTGCCTTGATCTAAACCATGCATAGTGTTGAGCAAAGGACACCTGTCACCACCTCCAGAGGAGATGTCGCCCTGTGTGGAGGACAGTAGAAATTGAATGTGGGTGAAAGGAGAGGGAAAGAATGTCTCAGTTTACACTGATAAGGAGTCAGGGAAACAGAGTGTGTGGTGAAGAGCAAGTGGTTATGTTTTGCTCTAGAAGAATAGTAAGGCTGTTAAAGATACTAGACGACTTTGAATGTCAGAGGTGAAACCTAGGGTCGTGTGATCAGTGGGAGAGACATGGCTGTTGAACAAGAAGGGAAAAAAATATGAGAATGTAAAAATTCGATGAGAACGTAACCAAATTTAAGATAAAAAATTAAGCAGAGTGAGTCTTCATGGCCAGTCTTACATATCTTACTACACGCTTCTCTCCCAGTGGGAACCCCAAACCTGAGAAGCAGAGAAACACCTGTGCCTCAGATCTCTTCCTTTGTTCTACACTCTTGATACACCTTTCCTTCTTCTCTTGATTGGTCCATTTGAAAGAGGCCACAGCTCAGGGAAGTTAGTAAATGTATTGTCTTTGTTTCATTACTTTGTGATATTCCCCCCTCCATCTCTATAATTTATTTATTTACCTTGGGATTAAATTAAGTTGCTCAGTGATCTCCTGGGGCATGGAGAGAAGGGACATCTGGTTTGGGAGGGCAGATTTCCTGGGCAGGACCAACTGTCTGGATCCTCCTGAATACGGATCCATCAACTTTTGCTGCCTGGAGGAGGCCACATATTTATCCCTGGACTGAACTTCACCTTCTTCAGACTTGCTGAGGGCAAAGGCTAGAGAAGATAAGAATTTGTTTATTGCACAGTTTTAAAAAAATGAATAAGGAAAACTTGTCATCAGGGTTTGCTAAGATTCCACCTTATACCCAGTACACTATTTTTATCTTGTGCTAGGATATATATTAAAAGGAAAAAAAATTCTAAAATACTTGAATAAGGTTGTATTATAACAATAATATTGTTGGCAGTATCTGTTCTTCAGCCTGATGTGATTTATTTATTATTCTAATGTAGTT